ATACAACTATCTACTGGGGCTTTGGGGAGAAAAAATAAATAAATAAAATCTTTAAAAAAAATAAAAATAAAAAAATAAATCTTAGCAATTATTGTCATTAGAATATAGGAGAGTTTATGAGCTGATAAACTGAAGATGAGGACAAGGAGCCAGAACCTCCCCTCCCCCTACCCAACTCTGGGAACTATGTGACTGCTTGGAAGAGACAGAAGCTCTCAGAGACTTCTGAATAACTGCTGTGGAAGAGAAAGTTCTAGTACCCAACTGGAAGGGATGGGGACTAATAAGGCGGGAAGAAGCAGGTGAAAAAAGAGACAGAGGCCTTGGGCGGTTCTGGGAAGCTGGGAGAAGCCAGGGCTTGCTCTAGAGCTGATTTAAAACAAAACAGCAAAACACATATATGGTTTTTGTAAACAGAAGGAAGAGAAGAAGATGGGAAAGAGCTTAAAGGAGCTTGTCCTCTTCGCAGGCACCAGCTTGGACCTGGCGCCAGAGTCGCGCGGGTAGCCGGCCCGCCCACGGTCCAGCGAGGCGCGCAGAAACGGCGCTCGGGGGCGGGTGGGGGCGGAGGGACTACAACTCCCGGCATCCACCGCGGCGGGCGGGCCGCTGCACCTGCTCAGTGGGGCCGCCCCGGGCGCCTGGGTATTGATTATTCCATTGTGTGGGACGCCTCGGCTCCAGCCAGTGAATGAGGCGGAGGAGTGAGGGCAAGGAGGAGGAGGAGGAGGGCGAGGAGGTGGAGGAGGAGGCAGGGAGCGAGCGAGTGCCCAGGGTGAATCAATGGAAACCCCCTCACGAAGCCGGGAAAACACTTCAGCCGCAGCCAAATAGCATTGATTATTTTCCTTCACTTCCCTCACCGCCGTGAATTTATTTATTTATTTTTTCCATCTCCGTCCCCGACGCCCCGGAGTGAGCGCTGGAGGGAGGGAGGAGGAGGGGAAAAAAAGGAATCAACACATCGGAGAAGTCCCTTCCAAGAGCCGCCCCCTCCCCTCCCCGCCTCGCGCTGCTCGGCGGCCGCGGTTCGACTCCCGTCCCTGCTTCCAGCTGAGGTGTAAGTGCATCGATTTCCGATGCTGCTGGGTTGGTTTTTTTTTTTCTCCTCTCCCTCTCTCTCTTCTTCCCTTCCTTGCTCTTTGGAAGCTTGAGACGGAGGGGAGAGGAGGCGCTCGGAGACTGCCGCTGGAGGGCACGGAGAGGGACAGCAAGGGGCTGGGGGAGGGGACACGGACCGACGGACAGACAGACCGGGAGCCTGAGACGAAGGAGGGGTAGGGGTGTGGGAGGGAGAGGGCGTGCGAGCGAGGATGGGGGAAGACAGAGGTGCGGGGGTGGAGGAAGAGACGGGGAAGGGAAAGGCATCGAGGCTGGACCAGGAGCCAGCCGGACAGGCGGAGGGTAACGAGAGCCTAGCGGGACCGCGCCGAGCTGTGCGGGGAGCGGGGGTCCCGGAGGGAAGGGGAGGCCGGGTGAGTGCGGGGGCTCGGAGCTGTCAGCCCGGAGGGGGCCTGGGTCTCGGCGACCCCCCGCCGGCCGCGGGATGGGAGAGGAACCGCGGCAGGCGAGCGGGCTGATGGATGGGGTAGCGCGCTGGGGGTGGGGGTGGGTGGGAGGGAATGTGGATACCCTTAATCTTCGATCTTCGTTTTTGCCTTAAGTTGAGCTTGTTTTTTTTTTTTTTTTTTTTTTTGGAAAGGTGCGAGTAGGTGAGGGGAGGCCACTGCTCCATGCAAGGTGAAGTGTCTCTCCTGGCCCCCAACTCTCCATCTGCTCTGTGTGCCCCTCTCTCTGAGTAGCCCTATCATTTCTGAGCACTCAACCACGCGTCTCTCCGCGCCTGTAGCCCCGCTGATCTCTGACCATGTGTCCCCTGCCTCTTGATTTTGCCATTCTTCACCTCGTTCATTCTCCCCACCCATCCATCTCCGGGTCTCTGTGTCACTGTCTCCACATGCGACTCTTCCTGTCCGAGTGATCCTCTCCCTGTGTGTCCCTGTCATTATCTGTCATGCCTTGGCTGCCTGACTAGGACTCCATGCCCTCTCCTTCAGGGTCTGTATGGATATCTCTGGCCTTTGCAGCTACTTTGGAGTTTGCTTATCAGTCATGATTGTAGTAGTCACTGGTCAGGAGCCTGGAAGAATCCAGGGATGGAGCAGATGTGTCTCCCCCCGAGGACTCCACTGCCCTTTCATCACGGCCAGGACAGACTCCTCGTCCACCTTCGCCTGGGAAGCTTTGGAACTTCCTAGCACTGTGCACTGTCCCCTTTGCCATGTGCCTGTCTCCCCCATCAGGACCTTACCTCTGGTCTCCTGTGTTATCTGCCTCTCTAGGAGCTTCCCACCACAAACCTCTTCCTTGCTGACTGGATCTTCCTCCTTTCCCTCACTTTACCATTGTATATTTTTTCGTTTCCCCATTTTGCTTCTCCCCTTTTTTTCCATCCCTCTCTCCCATCATCTCCTTTGCCTATTCTCACCTTTGTTCCCATAATCTTCTCTCTTTCTACATTTTCTCCTTGGTCACCCTAAGTTCTGTTTATCCAGTATCCTCTCACTCAGTATTTTAACCCCAGCGCAGAAGGTACCGGAGAGGAAGGGGCTGGGAGAGGTGGGGAGGATGGTTTGTGAAGGCCCATAAACAGGCCAAGAAATCAATTTAATGGGCTTCCAGGGGCATATAACCCCTTCATCAGTCAGGGCCATTATGTCCGTTAACTGTCAACTTTGATTTTGCAAGGGGACATTCTCTAGGTCTCTGAGCTCCACCCTGCTTGGTTGTCCCTCATCCTTCAGTTCATTCTAAGTATCAGTGGC